AGGGTTTACAAAAGAGTGCTGGAAGTTAACTCAATAAATTTCAACTTCCTGATTCCTCTTGTGTGACTCATGTAATAAATAAGATGTGATAGAAATAACAAGCTAATATAAATGATCACACAAGTCAGGAGGGATTGATTTTAGAATCTCAGGTTTATGTTTCAGAGATAGATGAAGCAAATGTCCTTGTATCTTTTTGTGTAATTACCAAACCACCGATGAAACGTGTTGCTCTGATTAATGAAAAGTACCGAGTCTGTTCTTGTGTGAGTCAATGGATGGTTCTATTAAATTGTCAAAACCTTGATTAAAAAGTGGTGGATGCATTTTACAAGTTGTGTTTTGTTGTCTGATTGAAAACGTATGATGTCCTTGAAGTTTCAGTTGCATATTTGTCATAATGAGAACAAAATAAAAAATAGATGTTAAAATTCGTGAGCCTCACCTCAATCCACTGGCCGTTGTTCTGCACCATGAGTACGACACAGGGGTCTGACTTATTGAGCGTGTCACGGTCCAGGAGGCCTTTGCAYGAAACCCGCAGCTCCACTTTGGTGACACACGTCGCCGGACCACTCAGGCTGGTCGCAGGGGAGGTCGCCTCCTGAACATCATTCATCATGACTCAAGGGTGAGAGGAGAGCCGCCAACCCGGCWGAGAGGCGGGACGAGAAGCCGCTGGTTCTGCTCCGGAAGCTCCGGGGGTGAGGAAGAGGAACGGATCGGCTGCGGAGGGTCTCAGGTTCTGACTCGGCACGCTCACAGGAGACGGACCCTTTTGACTTTGCACAGATGTCACAAGAAGAGAGATTCTGGGTGAGTGTCAGGGGACCAAATGAGACCCAAGCTGTTATAACTGTCCATCAGAGCTGTTGTCCTGTGAGAGGTCACGTCTCACCTCAGGAGAACACACGAAGGTCGCAGGCTTTCACAAGTCTTCACAAGATTCCTGCTAAACCTCATTTCAACAACTTCAACTGAGGGCTGCCTTTTTTTCTTAACTGCCCTTAATTTCAACATTCAGATAAAAGGGAGTCACTCTAAGACATGGTAATGTGCAAAAATCTTAAATCATCCCTTTTTTCTTTACGTTTTGCTTCAAACAACTGCTTTTTTGTCTTTTAAAGTGGTCTTAATAAAAGGTTCTTTCAGGATTTCTGGAGGTCGTTTAACATCTGTTGTTTGAACTTTGGCTGCTTTTCTACTAATTTGTGACCCATCATATTGAAATGAGGATTAAGTCAAATTTGGTGAAAATGACCTAATTACATTTTCAGATTATTGGCTTCAAAAACTATATTTTGATACTTGTATCATTCTGATATAACTAAATCCATTTATATGATTTCATTTGTCTTGTTACAATAATACATAAACATTTGGTCTGAATCCTAATTTTATGTCATTTTAATGAGGATTGTTTRACGTCTTTATAAAGAGGAAACCTCAWATATTATTTGAATATTGAGATTTCCCAGCTGAAAAGAAACAAAACTTTGCTAGCTCACATCAAGTCTCAAAATTTTAAGATGTTTCCTCAAAATCAGGTTTTTTATTGCTGCTGCTCAAAAAAGAGCTTCAAATTTTTGTTTTCTGATTATATTTCAGACAGTTCATTCAAATGATACATTGATAAGGCTAATAATAATATTTTTTGCAAATGTTTGAATCACTATTTGCCTATTTCTCCTAAAATCCACTTTTAGACTTGATCCTTGTTTCGATATGATGGTTCACATTTATCAGAGAAAATGTTTTCTTAAGACACTTAAGACTGGGTACAAAAATATCAATGAAAGATTACAAGGAAGGCTGGTTCTTTGAGAGCAAATTTACATTAGAATTTAAGAAAAAACAGACTTGTTGCCTTTGTCATTCTCTGCATCACACTGCAATTATTTTATCTGAAAATTTTCAAAAAAACAAATTAGTCCTTTAAAATATGGATTAAGTGAATGTGTTAAAATCTATTAGCTGGTTTTTGTTTAACCCTGGCTGGTTTTAACAAAAATGATCAAACCAGAACCGCCCTGCTGAAGTGTCCATGAGCAAGGCAGATTTACCCAACTGTTAAACCGGTTTAACTGCAAAGAAATATAAAGAGTATCGGGGTGTGGGCTAAACGTTTCCAACAGCACCGTTTACAGGCACATTTCTTTCACTTTCAGCACCGTGGACAGAGTCCGGCTTCTGTGAACCTGAGACCGCCTCACGACCGAATTATATCCTAAAACTTCACTCAGAGAGGCTCGAAATGAAACAAGCATCACGATTTCGGGTTCTTAAAAAAACAAAAAGTTGTAAATTCACCAGTTAAGCAAGAATAAACGAGGAAAGAAGCTGCAAATTGAGCCCAACAACTGAAATAAAAAAGCTCCTCGTCGCTTCGGTGAGAACTCTGATCATCTCCGCTGAAAAGGTTCGGTTTTGTTCAAACGAGCCTCACAGCCAGAAATCTGCCTCAGTATTTATATCCAACAACCTCGCGTGGTTTATTCATTATAGTGACTGACTTCACGTCAAACAGGTGAAAGCTCGTCCACAAAAACAAACTGAGGCGATAAAAAAAAGAAGCAAAGAGGAAACTCTGACCCTACCTTCTGTTGTTCTTTTGCTCATGAAGACACTTGTTAAATCCGCTCCCACGAAACACTGGTTGATTGTTTTTCTTTCTACTGTTTTTCCACTAAAACTCATTGGCTCGGCTGCTGAGGAGGGAGTGGGCTCGGCTCGCAGGAGCTGGAGAATAGAGGGAGTCCAGCTGCTGATGTAAGGGTGGGCTCTTTTTTTTCTTTCCTTTGCCAGGACGCGATGACTTCAGTTCCAAACCGAGTTTATAAAAGAAACAAATGTGTGGAAATGCAACAGAGGAGATAGCTCCCAGTAAAGCTGAGACAGAAGCAGCTCTGTGATTTGCTGACAGAACTGTGAGCCATAAAGAAAAACCCAACAAATGTCATGCTTAATTTTTATATTTTTGTTTCGAGAATTTCTGTTGTAGTTTTTAGTTTTGGTGTGCCACCCCAGTTACTCCCATTAAAATACTTCTGGAGGCACTGATGTTTTGAAGAGAGGTTTGATGGAAAGGTTATGAATAGTTAATAGCTTACCTGTTGTAGATAGCTCTTTGAAGACCTCAGTTTTGAAAAAAAAAATAAACATTTTTTTCCCTGAAGCAGTCTATTCGTTTTTATAATGTTCAATCTTAACCAAGTCTTAYATTGTTTTGTATTAGTCCAAGTCTTCAATACATTTTTCCAACATCTTTCCTATTTTCTCCTWGATACACTGCAAAAAATACTAATCTAATAATAAGTTAAAACAAACTAGATTATCTGAATTTTCTTAAATATATTTCACTTGGTAAGATTTCTTGAAATAAGGACAAATTTCAGGCTACAAAGATTAATMATCTAACACATTSCGCTCTTGCTTAGTATAACAGTTTCAAATTATAAAGCATATGATTGTAACACTTGGTCAGACAGACATTTTTTGCAGTGTAATAGTTTTTAGAAGTTATTACCTCTATAAGTTTATTTTGTTGATTAGCTCCTCTGACCAAGTTTAAGGATGCCTTTTTTGCTCCCCTCTATATGGGTTGACAAATTGAGCAAACATACATAAAAATGGCAGCTTTTTGGTAATAGACTCTACAGTACATAGCATTTAGTCCTTTAGTCCCATAAATTAACAGCATTTTTCTAAGATTTTGCTTATTACTGTAAAAAGCAGAAAATATTCTACTTATAGGATTGTGCTAGTTACACCTAAGGGTGTAAAATTGGTAAAAACAAAACAAAGTTTATCTTTTGGCTGATCCTGGTTGTCTCGGTGAACAAATTGTGCAAATTATTTTACAGCAAATATCCTTCCTGATGCAACCTGGGCTCCGACCTGCAGCCTCATGAAACTTGCAGCTCTGACAACCGAGCTAATGAAGCCCCGGATAAACCAAACTGTACCATGATTTGTAAGCTTTTTTCACATTTAAACCTCACTTTTCATTTCCTTTTAGCATGTCCCCCAAACCTGGTTAGTTAAGTTCAGGCCAAACTAATTTAGCCTGATGTATTCCTTTTGTTTCCCTCCAGCATCAATGTATTCTAACATAAATCAAACCATTGCTCAAGTGTGGACAAAGTCTGTGTTTTAAGCAATCCATTGTTTATCAGTGACTTATGTAAAGCAGAGGAAAACAGTGCTAATCTGCTGCATAATGTTAGCATTCATTTCAATATAGATTGCAAAAATCTACATTCAGTACGACAGGTATAAGCACTGATGAACAAAACAACAAAAACACATTTGTTTTAGATGTCAAAGTCTCTGCTCAGATTAAGTACAGCCTCCTTGTGTTTTAGACTTTTTTTCTAACATTATTTAATGGCAGGAATTTAAAATGATGACCAGCGGTTAAACAAATAGACACCAATAAGACAAGTCAATGTTTTAACAGAATCCATGTTGCTAATTTGGATGGTTTTATGTAACCTCAGTGAGAAAAGACGCAAATGACGGACATCATTTTCGAAAAACAACAGCACACAAGCGTCCTATGGCGTGTATACAAGCATCGACCATAAGTTATCCTAACTTTGGTAAATATCATCTACCTTGTTGGTAGGGCTGGTTTCTCCGGCTTGCTGCTGTTGTGGTGTGACTCGGTGGAGTGGCAGATGTGGATGGAGTCCCTCGGCCCTTGGATTGTCCCTCATG